CAGCCGGCCTGCTTCGAGCAGGCGGGAAACCACCGGCTGATGCTGCTTCTCGCTCATTCTACTGTTACGATGATACCCGCGCAATCTCACTTGCTAATTTTCCCGGGAGCATATCATCGTTTCAGTTCAAATTACTCAGCTCACATCACTCAGCTCAAATTACGCAGCTCAAATTACTCACAATGTATTCTGCGGACTTAAAGTCGTTTATTGAATTATTGAATTTATTTCCGACTTTTGGTTTGCCGGCATTATTCCAATCACATGACCATTCGTACCTATGCTTTTCGATGGAAATAATTCACATCACAGCAAGGTCGAAAATTTTTTCAATAAATTCGAAAAATTTCAGTTTAAATATTTGGAGTCAGGCTACTCTTTCTGCTAATAGTTCTAATTAAGAATTATTTAAGGATTAACTTTAAAAGCTTTATGAATTTCCGTTTGACCCGTTGACCTGGGTTATAACCCGGGTCAATCATGACTCGCCCGGGTCGTTATTTTCTGACCGGGTAAGACCTCTAGTGTTTTCATATGAATTTCAACACATTAGAGTTGGGACAAGAGAAGGGCCGCTGCGCAGGCGGAGCATTTCGGAAGTCAGGAATATTTCGGGATCTTGCCGTATTAGTAGAAAACTACCATAATGCGGACCTGTGCAGGCTGCGCAGTAAATTCAAAAAATCTTCGATTTGCCATCTCTAGTTGGGTTCCATTAATTATCTGTGTGACTATTCACTGGATATTCACGATATTGAATGTATATCTGGATTTTATATGGATATCCGTGGATATCCATTGAATATAAAATTATGTATATTTAGCTATGATCTGACTATATTTAAGCAAATATTTTATCGAATGTTAATCCTTGACTATTGCGACCTTTCTTTATCTGAATAGTTACTTTTAATTGAATATTCATTTTTATCCATGGATATTCACGGATACCACCTCGCGCACTAAAATGCTTTTTGAGAAAATCTTATGTCCATCATTTTTGGATCTTCGGTTGCTAAATTATTTATGAGTCAGCCATTTAAATACCCATTCTAGCTTCACCGACAATCATTTGGGTCTTTGCCTTGAAAATCACGTTATAGGACATATGATTTACTATATCCTATAACGTAATTTTCAAGGTAAAGACCCTATTTGTTTTACCGACAATACACTTCATCGACAATACTATTCACCGGCAAGTTTATTAGCAAATTGATTGTACCCGTGGGGAGAAGCTTTACTTAGGATTATTAAATTATCCGGGTTATCCGTGAAACGTACTGTCGGCCCCGACAGGTCATAATCCCGACAAAAAAATCCCGACAACAAAAATCCCGTCAATTAAAAATTCTGATAAAAATTATCATAAATCATAGCTAACCTTAGCCTAACCACTATCTAAAGTGATCTAACCTTAAATTATAAGAGCCTACTTCGCTTTAAACATACTCCATATTTGGATTTTCTATTTGAAAATTCTGACTGTCGGGATTTTTAATTGTCTGGATTTTTGACTGTCGGATTTTTTGTAGGGATTATGACCTGTTGGGATTGTGCTTGTCGGGATTATGACCGGCACCCAAAATGATACGGATTCATACATTCATATTAATATATGAGTGTCGCTGAAAGAAACACACACATTTATATATAGGCTATATTTAAATTGGTATGTTTTCTTTTAACGAACACTCATATATTCAACTTCATCTCTCGTATTCTTCCTTAGCACATAACTTTTTAAGTCCTAAAATTTTTCAATTTATAGTTCTTGAAAATGAAAATTTATTTTCCTATTATTTGGCTTTTTCTTGCCATCTTCATTAAAGTTGCTGTTCCAACCATTTCAAGTCCTAATCGCATCTCTCTTATAAAAAGTGGCCCTAAATATTCTTGGACAGAATTTTCTCAACTCTATAAAGATTACTATACGATTAAATACGAATCTTTATCCCGAAAAATCCATGGATCTGATAAAGATGTTCTTAATAAACTCGCATCTGCTAAAGAAAGATTTTCTGCAAGAGTTAATCTTACAATATCAAATGTTGCAGGATACTATGCACCAATTATTATAGGTAGTCAAAAATTTGACGTACTTTTCGATTTAGGAAGTGCTGATTTTTGGGTTAGTTTTTTATTTTTATATTATTTTAACGATGATAATGATCATATCCTTATATCAGCACTATTCTAAAAATTAGGTTCCTTCCTCGAATTGTACGCATTTTGCTTGCGCAAGTCGTAGAAAGTTCAACGAAAGTTTGTCGAAAACATTTACGCTCATTGGTGATCCCTTCACAATTGGATATGTAGCTGGCAGTGTCAGTGGTATTACCGGGATGGATAATCTTTTATTGGGCGGGATATCTATAAAAAATCAAACATTCGGTCTTGAACTTTCAGATGGTGTGTTTGCACCACTAGATTTTGATGGTGTTTTGGGTATGGGTTTTGACAGTCTTAGCCAAATAAAAACCAGAACTCCTTTTTCACGCATGGTTGAACAAAAGACTGTTAAAAATCCTTACTTTAGTTTTTATCTTCAACGACCAAATGATAAGGCTGATGTGGGAGAATTAACTATTGGTGATATTGATGCGACTAAATTCATTGGAAAACTTAGTTATAACAAAGTATCTGATTTTGACGGTAAATACTTATTTTGGATAATTCATCTAGATGATGCTTCTATTAATGGTAATAAACTTAACTACACAAAAAGAAAGGCTTTGTTTGATTCAGGATCACCTTTAGTATTTATGCCACTTGATGATGTTAAAGAATTCCATAGCCTCATTAATGGATCACATTCAGATGAAAGTGGAAAGTTTTATGTGCCCTGTAATATGACAGACCAAGTAGCATTTATATTTGGCGGAATCAGTTATAATATTGAACCGTCAGACCTGATCGGTGAAAAAGATTCGTTTGGTTGCATGTCTGCAGTTCAAAATGCTGATTTTGCGGGTGTCAATACATGGCTTATTGGAGATCCATTTCTAAGAAATGTTTACTCTGTGTATAATATAAAAAATTTTACGATTGGACTTGCACATATACCTAAAAAGCATAATTAACTACATGGGGTTCAAAACTGGCCCTCCTTAACAAAATCTAGTAGTTAAGCACGTTCAAATATCTGTTTTTAATTTAAATATTCTTTAAAACATCTTATTTTCTAGGCAAACTGAATGCATATCTATGCAATGTCTGTTTAATTGTAACAATTATTTCATTTAAACCTTTATTAGATTCTAATTTTCTAGTTTTTTTAAAAAGGTTTATTAGTTCAATATTTTATTTGCATTTTATTTATCTTTAATAATTAAATTTGTAATAATTAATAATTAAAATTTGTTATAATCAAAAAATAATATAAACTAATTCTTTTTGATGATTGCTTAAAAATAAAATTTGTACTGTAAATAATTTAAAAATTCAAGACTTTAAGTGAATAGTACCCTTAGTTCTATGTAAAATAAATTATTATAATAATTTAGAAGATATAAACTACCTTACTTGCTATTAGGACCGATAGTCCTCTCGATCTATTCTAAAGAGGACTAGACTGACCCGATCCTTGGATGGACCGAAGGACTATCAGTTCGGACCAGATTGATTATCATAGAAGGAAATTCGTTTGATTGGCTGGTGTAGATCAATTGCCTGGTAACTTATTTATATTGGTTAAAGTACTTTTGGAGAACATGAAAGTTCACTAACAAAAATTCACCACAAACATCATTAATAGCTTTAGAGAAACGCTATTGTTCACAATGCAAAATAATCCCAAAAAAATCCCAAAATTGACGAACTTTAGAAGACAAAAATTCTACCGTTTATTGGACAATATAAATTACACTATAGAATGAGATAACCAGAAGCATTTCTATTTAAACTACCTAAGTGTGTTAGATTTAAATAAATTTTTATCGCTAACTATTTAGTTTAAATAGAAATAGTCTTATAGTAGGAAGAGATCTGAGCTTAATACTTGAATATGTTCTGTTCTTTGGGGGTTTGTCAATCGTAATGATCTTTGGGTTATAGGTTGTATTTTTACTAGAAGTAATCCGTCGCTTTGCCGGTTTAGATTTATAAATATAATTATATATTATTGTGATATCCCATATATTTGTTTTATAAAACTTTAATATTTCAAAACCACCTAATAAAAATTCAAGCTTTTTTATTTGAATTCAGCATATTTATAGAAATATTTCATCGAATTTCATTAATAATCGCTGAAATATTTTTGTTAACATTTTAAAAATAAACCAACAATGTATACTTGCCACACGATTTATTATGCATGGTACTCTAAACGTGACAGAGCATAATGTTTTTAAATATATAGGCTAGTTTATAACCTGTCGCTCGCTTCCGGGTTTAAAAATAAATTACATAAGAGATGGTCTAGAAAAATGGTGTATAGTACGGGTGAGCAGATCAGTATAGTACAGGCCAAATTAAAACCACACTATAATGCGAGAAAACTCTTTGATGCAAAGCTTGAAATGTTTTGACTTTACAATATTTTGAATCATATATCTCAATATACCACGACTTAAAGTTTAATTATTGAGCTTGCCTACGTGACTATTAGTCTATTCCATAACCTGGGTCAAAAAAGTTTAACTTGAATTTGACCGGATAAGAGCTCTAGATGTTTTGCAGATCAAATTTGAGTTCGTTCATTTTTACATAGAAAACCCGGTTAATTATAATTTATCTCTAATGCAAAATATTTATTTTTGATGCTTCTGTACTTACTTTATTGATATATCTAAACGAAACCAATAAAATTGCACATTATTATAGTAAAAGTTAGTAAAAAGTATAGAAATTTTAGGATATGTTTGGGTGTATCATAAAAGTCGGTGCAGCAGTAGCAAAAATAAATACTTTGAATCCCTGATCTGTTTGATCGTGTCAAGACGATTTTTAACCCACGATCCTTACAGGTTAGCCCACCCCGGATAATAGCTCTAAATCACCTACAGATGAATATTATAAAGAGATATATTATCATAAATTACCATGCAAGATATCCAGATATTTTACATTCCACATAACAATAAATCTTGATTTATACCCCGGGTATATTGTATGGCTGGGGATATTATCTGGGGTATTTTGTGAAATGTATATTAGTTTATTATGAAAAAATTTATTGTTATTAAATCAGACATTGATTTATACCGGATCACTTACCAAACTCTACAATAAATGACTTTGAAACATACCTGGCACAAATCAAGAGGATACCTTTCACGGTAATTTACGGTACGGATATATGGGATATATGAGTACCCATATGTTAAGAAAATCCTGAGCTGCTGATCCGAAAAATATAGTCCGTAGTATCTTCATGCATCCGACATTTAAAATTGTGTTTTACGTGTGATTAACGTTAAAGGTATCCAGGATATATGGGTGGCAAATGCGTTATACAATTTGTAAGATCCTCGTGGTAGGTGTTACATGAATAAATTTATTTATACGAATAATCTAAACGTTACACTATGTGACTCCTACGATTTTAAATAATAGTAGGATTAATAAGTTCGAGTTTATTCACAATAAATACTACTTTACAAGGATCTAGCTATTCTTTAAATATATGATTCTTTCGTATATTTAATAATTTATAAATTTCTTTATGTGAATTTTTTTTTGCTTCTTAGCCGTTAGAATATAGTATTAAAGCGAACGAATCTTTTAAAATTATTTAATTTGATTGGTTAATCATCACGGGTAATCATGTGTAGATTCATAAAAATTGGCCATCAGATGAATTTCTTCCTATCAATATTACTAAAATGGGATCGTCTAAAGCGGAGCATAATCACGTGACTTCTGCCGAATCAAATTTATAGAATTTTGAAATAAAACGAAAAACCTGAAAAATACAAAAAACGGCAGTCTAACCTACCTCAAGTGGGTTAATTAAAAATATCTGGAAGGCAATTTTGCTTATATAAAACCTAATATAAAATGACCCTAACCCAAAGTTAATTCAATAAAATATATATTATAAGAATCTGCTCCGCTTTAGACATCCCCTAAAATGTAACGTCCGTTTGGAATAAAACAAATATGATGACTAATTTTTATTCCCCGTGATTACTGTTTTATACATCCATATAGTAAAATACATTCACCAATAATTAAAGCTCTAACGCGCAGACTACTCCTTAACTGTCTATAAAAAACGCACTGATTTAGAAGTAAATATCCAAGACACTCAAATTAGTAATATAACTACTTTCACCGTAGTTTACTGTAGCATGGACGTGCCCTTATGCTAGTTTTTTTTTTTTTTTTTTTATTAAAAACAGCATTTTCATAGATTGATAAAATTTGAGTCAATATATTCGTGACCGAGTTGATTAAGGGAACAAATGTAGTAATTGGTATCCTAAAGTTTTGGCGGCAGAGTTTGTCTGACTGGTCACCATGGTTGACCCACTAAACTTTAACCTCTACCCGTAGATGGAAATTCTTATTGAGTTTTTGTGAAATCATCATTAAATTATGCTAGTGAATCTCCTATGTGATCAGACTTCCTTGCTGTACTAGGATGTGATATAATATACGCACAATTTAACTTATGGCTGCATATGCATCATTCGCCGAATAAATTTTATAATTTAAGCCATTTCAGATTATAACCTTTTTTAGCCAATAATATAGAAGTGATAATATAGAGTGTGGAATATCTATGATCGAAAATTCCGAGCACCGCGAGCATCGAAATAAATTCATCCATTGAGTTTTTGTTCATTCAATCGTCGAGCATCAGTCAAATTAAAATTTAATGATAAATTTTTGAGTGATTAATAAATAACATTTTCATAATGATAAATAATAGTTTCATAATGATAAATTAAATAACAGTTTCATAACAATAAATATAAATAACAGTTTCATAACAATAAATATAAATAACAGTTACATAACAATAATTTCTGTTTAATAGATTTTTAAATTGACATTATTAGAAACATAGATTTTGATTTAATATTGAATAAAGTTATGACATTTTCTATTGATGTTCCCGTAGAGTTCTCTCTTAATCATGAAAAGTGCGAATCTAATTGCATTAAGGTTCGGTTTGTAAAGAACCAAAATTCAATATAGAGAAGACTGTTGCCAATAGTCCTAAAAAACGATCCCGGCAACACTTTGATTCCAAATTATGCATTTGTAATTGCCATGTGAAAAACTGCGAAGTGACTTATTTATATTACTTATAAATTTCTTGGAACCCTGCAACAAGCATACTAAGTGAACGCTTGTTTTCGGATGCAGGAAATGTTATGAGTACAAAGAGAATATTATTAATCAAAATTAATTTGAAAGAATGGTTTTTCTATTTTATTAGTGATGATTATTCATATTATAGATGCTTGACGAAATCATTTTTGAATTGACGAATAGTTTCGTCATTTTGCGATTGTGCCAAAAA